TGTTGTCAAGGTTGATTTTTTATTACCCTGAATTCCCCAGCTGCTGATAAGCTTTCAAAAATATCAGGAAGTTCTGTGACTTTGAAAGTTGAGTACAGGCTTCACATAACCGGCAGTGTAAGGTGGACAAGAAATGGAACAAACATCCTAAGTGACAGACACATTTTGGCACTAGATAATTCGCTAATTATTACTGATTTGCGAAAAGCTGATGAAGGAGTATATGTTGCTGTTGACAATAACGGGAGAACAGTGGCAGAATATGCACTTGTTGTGGAGACAAGTAAGTAACTAAATTAAGGCTTAAATTTTGAAAAATGAAAAATTTAAGACTGACTTTTCAAAATTATTTATACAAACCTCCCTAAATTCTCATACATTTCTTAAAACCAATTATTATATTTATATCTAAAAGGTAAAGAACAAATAGAACAAAGGTGGATGCGAAAATTTGACCAGTGGTGTGATGAATTTGAGCGTTATCAGGAAGACATTCGACAATGGGTAAGTGCATAACAAGCATATTAATATAAAAAAAAATTTCATCTGGTAAAAAGTAATTATTAATTTCTGGATTCCCTACTTCAAAAACATATATTTAAGTTTATTTTTTAAACATATGTTGACAATGTAGTGCTTTTCATTTCTTTTATGTAAAAAAATAATGGGACTAAAAACTATTTTACTTTTGCTATTTGTATATAACCATGTATAATTTGAGAAATATAGAGTAAAAAAGGCTGTTTAAAAATAGAGGTTTGCACATTTGCATGTATGAATTTTTTCATTACTGGGAGAGGATATATTACACTAGTGCCTATCCAACCAAATCTTCTTGGCCCACTTGCATTAGGCAAGCGAGTGCATATTATATCTGTGCATAACACAAGTAATGCAAGTAGCGCCCCTTTTTAGGGATATTAGCATAGTTGTATCGGTATGACCACAGTTTATTTTAAACGTTTTTTGAGATTTTTAATAAAAATTTGTATTGTTTGATCCCTATTGTATTATTTTGGACAAGATTAACAGATCATATTATACGCGAACAGCGCATTTAGGGCTCTTTTAAAACGAAAAGTTAGGGCTTTGCATATTCATGGATCGTGCTATGCTTGGTAATATATGGTAGGTTGTAACAATACATATATATCACATTGTCAAAATGTATGCCTTTTAAATTATAATAAAAAAACGAAGTGGCTGTAGGGACCCAGGTCCCAGAAGTGAGAGGTTGGGATTTAAAAAATATTAAAAATATTATTGTAGGGTTTGTAAGACAAAATTTGGTATCAAATGATAGAAAATTGAACTATATGTTTGTTAACTTACTTCTTCAGTTTAATTAAAATAAACTACCACAAATGACATCGGAATAGAATTTAGTCTAAAGGGACCCGGGTCCGAATAGCGGCTATGTGTATGGGTCCCTTTAGACTAAATGCTATTCCAATGTCATTTGTGGTAGTTTATTTTAATTAAACTGAAGAAGTAAGTTTACAAAAATATAGTACATTCAATTATCTTTCATTTGATACCTAATTTTGTCTTACAAACCCTACAATAATATTTTTAATATTTTTTAATAAACCGAAACTCTCACTTCTGATACCCCGGTCTGAATAGTCGCAGCAATAAAAAAAATTACAAGTCTGGTTTTTATTAAGCTTAAATTAACTTTCATGAAAATAATATATTTCATTTTTTTTCTTGCTAAATCCAATGTTTATCATTTTTAGGAAAGGAAATGTTCCACTTGCTGTGCTGAAACAGCTCTGGCCAACATTAAGGTGCCTGCATTGAATGGAGGGAAATAAATTTTGTGTACTATTACCAAAGGGAGAACATCTAATAAATCATCTTGTTGCCTTATTAACTTTGCTAGAGCAATGGAAGTCCTCTGTGCAGTCTGGGAATCAAGCCTTATCTTCTCAAGTTTCAAAGTTTGTAAGCTATCCCAGTGGAATTAATACTACTTTGAAATGCTAAAGCAAAGTCATGATGTCCGTTTGTGAGATGGTCCCTTAAGATGTGGGCAGCATAGTGCTACTACATTGTAGAAGCTGCAACATGAGGTGTTTCTTTTGCATACAGCTAATGAAAGCCTGATAGTGCACCTCAACATCTGTGATAGATATTTGTCTCCTCTCACCATTCCTTCATTTTCACACCACCATTGTTCTTGGTAACTGGACATCAATTGAGAATTCATAGACCTGACTGTTAAATATTCACTTATTTGCTGTTTCTATTATTTTTTTAAAAAACTGATAATGGAAGTGTCAGCGTTAGGATTGATAGATTGTCATATTAAAAGACTGACATCAAATAATGAGATGAATGTTAAGTAAGTACAAAATAAAAATGGATATTAAATGAATTTTAAGTTGATCAAATAAAATAAAGTTTTTTAGATAAAGTCATCAGAAAATGTCTTGTTGCTGCATTAAATATAATTGTGAACTTAAAATAATAAAATGTGTTAATTATTGTTTGGTAAAAGTTGAATATTCTCTATGTCATTATCAAAACTGATATCAGAATAATGCTGGTACAATTTTAATCTTTAACATGTGACTTCTTAAAGCCTATATTAGCTTCTATTTTTTTCATTTATGTAATTTAATACATAAGAATTATTATGAATAGTTGGATTCATAAGATATTAAGTAGGTTACATTAATAATCATTTAGCTGAAAAATTATAAAAATCTACATCTTAGTTTATTATATTATATTTCACAAAATTGTCATTTAGAAAAAAATTTCAACCTTCTCTTTGTTTTATTTTCCCTCTGTATGTAACATCATTTTATTTCTTTTTAATTTTAAACATTTTGCTAGTTCAATTTAAAGCTTGTTATAATAGTTATTAATCAGATGAAAGACCCAACACGCTACATTCCTCAAAATAGAGTTTAATTTATTGGTCAATATATATATCTTTTGAGTCCAAGCTTTTCTGTCATCTATTTAACTTGAGAAATTATAAATATATTTTTTTTAAACAAAATCTTCAAACTTTTTTCAAAATGAAATTTTTATTTCCTGAATAATCAATGCACATATTTGATTTTTAAATACATTATCCAAATAAAGATAGTGTGCAATGTTTTTAGATATTGAATTAAAATACAAATGATTAGTTAATATATTTATAATTATGATGTGTGGAATTATTTATTAGTTGTGTTAACTGAATCCTACTAATTTTAGATTAAATTCTCCTAGCTTTACAAGTTAATTGTGTACATTTCTGTCAAGATCTAAACAAAACCAGTTATGCCATACAATGTGAAATAAAGTTACGATTGTTTGTTATTTTGTTATGGTGTTGTCATTTGTAAAGCATCAGACATTGCAAAAGCTTACAGTTTTGCATTCAAATGTAAAACATCTTTGCCACAAAGTTTCCCTGTCTTAACTCTAAGCTGAATTAAGGTTAAAGTGCAACTTGACTCATGACTCCTTACATGCATTTAAATAGCAAAATATTATGAAAACAAATCATTATTTAAGTAGGCCACAAAATTATTCAAATGAATTGCAATTCGGCCCTTTGTGTTAATAATTTGTTTACTATAATAATATCAAGAATACAAATATAAAAACTGAATTTTAAATTGATATTCTGAAAAGCATTAAGTATAACATTGCTTTGATCGCCTTAGCTTTTTCACTTTCAATAGCATAAAGTAAAATTAATATTTAATATCACTAGATGTCACAACAATAACTGTAGAACTTTTTAAATTTGAAAAAGCTGTGGAAAGAAAGAGGAATAAAAATTAATATTTATTTTAAAGCTACTCTGATTTTGCTGAAGTTTTAAATGGATCAAATATGTTATTTCAAGCCTAAACATATCTTGTCCTACTATTTATTTATTTCTTTTCATAGTTTTTTGTTGTTGGACATTTGATGTAGCTATAAAAATTACATATATATATATTCGGAAAAAAAATAGTAATAGTAAAAGCTAAGACAGCATCAGCAATTACTTTAAGAATTAAAATGCAAAAACATTTATTAAAACTTAAGTTTTATTTTTTTTTTCAATAAACTTATGCTTTGATGTAATTTCATTTTAAAATTTAAGGTAATTATTTACTTCAGAATCCTATGCCTTACATAAGAACAAAAAGCATAGTTCGTCTTTTTTAAGGTTAGCATATAGAAGAAGAATCATAATGTTGTACCTAGTTTTTATTCACTTGTTATTACTCTATAAACTATAAAGGCTACTTTATTAATTGGAATGAAAATACCATCTTTTTAAAAGCTCCATGATTTTATTTATTTTTATGCACTTAAATATTGCTCTTTCCTTTTTTTCACACTCTTTAAGTTAGAGCTGTTCATCAAGCATTTAATATGTTAAGAATCTTCAAATAGCTATAAGTTGAAACAATAAAAATAAATATAAAATAGGCCAATCACATTTTTAACCAAATATTGTTTCAATTTTTTATTGTCATGAAAAATTTTATTTTGCATAAAGTAAATGATGTCTGATATAAATAACTTAATGATATTTCCTCACCTGCATTTAAGATGCTGCTGGCAAGTATTTAATGTATACCAGATGAAATTCTGGAACTACATCTACCAGAATTAGCAAAATTGGCTACATTTGTCACATCATTTTTTGAGTGTTTCTAAAGCTATATTGTTGCAATTGAAAGCATGTGTGAGAAATTTGATTGCCATGCCCATGCCCATGGTAAAGAATAAAAAATTTAATTGATATTCATATCATTTGAGTTTCATCCTTGTGTTTATTTCTTTGTCTGTATTAAAGAAAAATTCAAACATGTGTAAATAGTTAGCAGGACTTTGTCCATGCTGTATCATGAAAAGTAAAAACATTGCTTTTATTCTCTTCAAATTTTCATTTTGTACTTACAGCAAAACATTGTACATATGAATTGAAAATAACATTTTCATTGTTGCTGAAGTAAAATAAATTGATTACACTTTAAAAAATATCAAATAATATCACATAATTATTATTTGTTTTAAAATGTTTGAGAGTCATAAAAATATGCTAAATGTATATTCTATTTCATGTTGGGAAATATACAAATAATAAGTATTTCAAAATATTTGTTATTTTCCTGATAAATTTTTAGCCTGTAAAAGTAATATGGCTGTGTGTAAGATGAAAGGAAAATGCTATACATAAATAGCTTTTAATACATATATAATTGCTTGAGACTAGAGAATCTATTCATACATTTTTATTCTATTTTAAACTTTTATTGTTGTTCCTAATCATATATTTTTTTCCAATAGTTTTAATATAGGCTTTATTTTATTAAACATTATTTTTTCTATGATGTTGCATACAAAGAATACTATGTATTTAACAGTATTGTGATGTGGTTGTATGAATTGATCAGAAAAGTATTTAATGGAGTTTACTTATAATGAAATAGGTCATTTTGTTGAGTACAAAATTTTTAATTATTTTCTGCTTAATAATTTTTTGAAGGATAGTTAATGTGGGACTGTTTTCAAACCATGCAAGGAAAATATGTTTGAGGGTAAAAGTGGAACAAGATATGTTTTGCCTTGAAATGAAAAGACAGGATAATTAAAATTAAAAGTACATTTTGGCTAGATGCCTCCTTCAGCAGGCAAGACAAAACAAGAAAAACAAAGAACTAGAAATGATTTCAAATACTTATTTATTAGAAAATCTCAATGTTGGAAACAAAGCGCTCTATTTTTAGAAACTGAAGCACCCTATCCAAGAGACAGAATATTTAAATTCTTTTACATCTTATAATCATCTTGGTATTATGCACCACAGAATTATGTGGTATGCACACTTTTGAACAAATTCACATATCCATTGAAACTATTTCCATTTTTTTTTATAATAAAAACAAATTCGTTCAAAACAATTCAAACAAACAAAAATCCTCAGAAATTAAACTCAATCTTAATTATCACACTATTACTAACTACATCTGGAGAAAATTTTTTAATCAAACTGTACTGAAGGATGAACTTCTAATAGTTCAAGTATTTCCAAACTGTTGCAACTGAGATGAAAATGAATCCAACTGTATTATTAATTAGACTCCTTTATTAGGTGTGCAATCAATGTATTAATTGCCAGACTTGGGGAAAAATGATAACCCACAACTTGAATTAGTTGCAGTTGTATGAGTTATTTTTAGTTTGTTTCTGTTTATTCCTGTTCATATGGTTTTTATTTTATTCCTCTGAAAGTTTATTTAAATACATTAAAATGTGACTAAAACCAGATCTGACAGCACTTTTTGAGACAAATGAACAGAGTTTTTTTTTATATTTGATCCGAACAATAAAATCTAAAGAAATGTTTTGTAACCATTGGCCCGAATTCAGATATAAACCTTACATCTGAACAAAACTAAATAAACATATTGGATGGTCAAGCGATGATTCCCTATTAAACTTGTTCTTTGAGGAGAAAAAAATGTAAAGATTCAATCAAATAACTAATCTAGATCTAATAATTAAGACCAATCATAAATAGACTGAATTGTATTTTTTAAAATTCATTTTTTAGTTCTCTTGTGATTACGGCTTTATTCTGCAGTCACATATTTTTCTCTTAAAAGATTAAAGAATTTTATTATATCATGAGATGACCCTTGAGTGATTAGTATTATTTGATTTGTGCTGCATAAAGTAAGGTATTTTTTTAGTTGAACATCTGTATGGATTGATTCAATTTTATATTTTTTACAAGGAGTTTGTTTTTCATTTAAATACCATGCTAATTATTCTAAATTTGAAATAATACTTTTTGATTTTAGGTTGCAAAATCTACTTTGATTCAGTTTCTTTAGATTTGTGAAATATTTAATTTATCTCAAAACTTAAACTTAATGAATTTAAATAAATGTTATCAAATAAATCAAAATGGCATTGAAAAACTGATTATTTTGCCTATTGGTTCTTTATTTGATAATGTATTATGAGAAGAGTCTGGATATTGTAATTTACAAATGTAAAATAAAATTTTAAATTATTTTGACAGGTAAATCAACATTTTTATTTGTAAATTTATAATATATTTTTATTTCATCTCTTATTTGAACAATTAAAATCATTGTTTTCTTACTCTGCAAGTCAATTAAATATTCATGAATTGATGAGTCTTGAAAATGAGCATAAAAAATCTCCAAACTTAAAATAGTATGCCACTGGTTAATGTAAGTGTTGCAGATTGATCACAGTAATGTTTTCGTTCAAACCTTATGACACTACATGTATTCTGTAAATAATAATTTGTGTGGTCACTCACTCTACTCATTTTAGTGACATGTTCTCTATATGTGTGAAAGATGATTGCAATGCTTTGTTAAAAGATGTTATATAAAAGATTGAATTCTGTTGTATGGGTCAAGGAATGGTATAGTGTATGAATAAAATATGTTCCATTTTATGAATGTTTATTTTGTTTTACTTTCATAGATAATGTAGAACTGTTAATGAGTTATTATATTTAAAAAACAATAAGTTGATAAAGTTGTAAAATTGATAATCAAACACAGATGAAGATATTGATGTGGTAATTTATTAATATATATTAGGTACAAGTTTTATAAACCTGTTTATCAAAGTTGAATTTAAATTTTTTGATTGAGGTATAAGATTTTCTAAATAATTCAAAAACTTTTCCTCACACAACACCAATGAAGGAATAACTAACATAATATTTTATATATTGAATTGATGATCACTGTTTATAAATGTTACCATAATAAATATATTTCATTGGTCCCATCATAATAGCAAGCTCACATTATTTACAAATTGCACTTAAAATTATTCTTATTTTTATTCACATATTTCTTAAATAAATACGTCAAAAGGTATCATAGCTTGACACAACTAACAAATAAATTGTGTTTTTTTGTTAATTTCAATGCTGCTCATAAACACAAATTATAAACGTTGCTTGTGAAAAGCCTTTCCCATCTGAGCAAGTTCAGCTTCAAACTGTTTTTGATCAGATTCAATCCTCAGTGCTAAAGCCCTTTTGCGTACCTGGTGTAGAGAAAAAGTTTAAGTGAAGTAGTATTTCTTTAAAAAACAATTTATTAATCAAGCACCCATACCCATGTCCAGATATTTTTAAAACACATGAAAACTAACAGCTGGCAGGCCCCACACTTAAGTAAGTTCTGGAACTTGTGACAGCTGATAATATTTCTACCTTTTCAAATTGTTACTGGGGAGGGGAAAAAAATGATGCCATGGTACAAGAAACACAAGATCTACCGATTATTTTAAACATAAAATTAATTTATTTACAAATAAAACTTTTAAAAAAGTAATAAACAACTTTTATCTTAAGATAAATGCACTCAATTATCAAGTAGCTATTGTAATCTATTTCTTCACATGTCATTCTATTGCACTCTTTTTCAATAAGTCTTAACAAATTTCATTGCCTACTACGTGCTGTGATTTTTGTTTAATTATTTATTATTAACCAAGAAATTTAGAAAAAGGAATGATAATGGTTAGTCAAAATTTAAATATAAACATGTACCATCTATCTTTTGAGTAATTAAAATGTGGATTTTATTTTGTTTATAACAATGACAAAAAATTAATTTGTCCTGAAATAATAAAGTTACCAGCAAATTAGCCTTGGCTACCAGCTTCAGTTCTGCTAGGACATTTCTCTTATCAGTAGCAAGCTGTTTAGCCTTCTGTTTTTTGTTACTCTCTTCAAGCCACTGTTCAAAAACTTGTTTCTGATCTGTTCTAAGTAATTAATTAAATATATTTTAAAAATTAATAGAAATAATGTACATTATTTTAAAATGATAATGGTAATTTATAAAAACTCACAAGGCACTACGTAACTTGCCTGAACATAAAACTTTTTAAAAAGGATACAATTTATTAGCTACTTACTGCTTCTGTGTATTATTATGACTGTCAAGATATTCCAGTTCCTGAGAAATGCATGAATATTTTTTAAAACATGGAATCATGATTTATTTAATTACTAGTTGTAAAAGTCTTGCAATGAATTACCAATAACACAATACAACTTTCACAACCGCTTCAAATGAATAGCTTGAACTTAGTTTTACTATGATGATCTCCCCTGGTAATGGAAAGTGTTAAGAGCAAAATGTGGTGAAAGGAAAAGGAGAGGTCCCATGGCCTCTCCATTTAATCATTGTTTTTTTCTTTCCTGCTGATATAAGCTTTCAATTAAATTTGATGAGGTAGGTGACAAAATCAGCAACTACTAAACGTGAAACCAATCGTTTACTTTCCTGGTGCCCTATTTTGCTCTATAAGATTGATCAGTAGTAGAAGAAAAAATAAAAACTTGATTAGAGGATATTCTATATTTATTTGTCATTCTCCCAAGAATTTTCCTTCTTGACGTTGCAAATTCCTTTTGTTTTGAACCCATTCTACTGCTCCCATTCTTTTTTAATGAATTCAGAGCCAACCCTGCTTTGAGTTAGTGGTCATTATCAAAAGTTGGCAATAATTTCTGTAAATGTATTTTAAAAAACATTCGACAATTTAAAATAAGTTCAATTTTTCCCTCTAATCATGTCAATACTTGGAATTTTCATATGATAATCTTTTAGAATTAAAATAAATGCATGAATGATGTGTGGTAACTTCTAGAAGCTGGTGGACAAGTATAAATAATAATAATAATAAAGTTTATTTGAAGAACACGCTTCATCTCCAAAAGCTCGAAGCGCGGTACAAAGTCAACCATATTAAAAAGAGAAATAAAAAACAATCTAAAATTTACCACATTTAAAAAACAGACGCAACAATATAAAACTACATACAAGCATACCAAGTCAAAGTCTTTCATCCCATTTCAACAATAAGCAACACAAGCCAACATACATTAACTGAAAAAGATGGTAGATAGCATCACCCCAGCAGGTGTTTGCCAAATATATGTGTTTTTAAATCGGTTTTAAAGGACTCCAGTGTCTGGCTATTTCTGAGAGCGACTGGAAGGGCGTTCCAAATTGTTGGGCCGGAAAATGCAAAAGTGCGCTTACCGGAAGTCTCGAGGCGAACACACGGTATCGATATTTTGCCACTATCGGATGAGCAGACCTGTCTAGTGGGTACATAGGCGTCATGAGTGCTTTGAGATAGGACGGCGCCAGGTCATGTAAGCAGCGGTAGCACAAAGTTGCAATTTTGTACTCTATGCGAGCGCGGACCGGCAGCCAGTCCGGCTATCTCAGAAAGGTTTTAGCATGGTAGAATTAGCGTTTGCGAAGAACAATGTGAGCCGCATTATTCTGTGCTCTTTGAATTTTATCCAGGAGCGTAGCTGGTACCCACTATGAGAGCATTGCAGTAGTCCATGCGTGATAACACAAATGCAGACATCAGCCTCTTTGATGCATCTAACGTTAAGAAAGGTCTGATATGACTAATCAGAAAAATCACCTTGCAAAGCATTTAATGTGATTTTCCATAGTTAGTGTTCTGTCTAAATAGACACCCAGGTTTCGCACTGTTTGAGCAAACTCAATCTGCATACCTGAGAGAGAACGCGATGTTGTGTTTTTTACAGATTTTTGTTTCTGAGCAGTGGCAATACCAAATGATGCTACTGTTGCTCTGAAGATATTTCATGTTCTGGTTCATCAACAAAAAAATAATAAAAATGGTTTTTTGACAGACTCACACTCACATCTAGATGATGTTCTAAGTACAGCCCATTCTAGTTAACCACCACTATTTACTAAACTGGCAGTCAACATACAGTGTCAAATGTCTCAATACCTTAAATTTGTATCTTTAAAAGTGAAATTTTTTGGTTCTAAGTCACTATTTAGGGTTAAGCTTCCTTGTTTTTTTTATCATGATAACCACACTCCACAAGCTATAATTTAAAAACGGGCCATCCTTAGATGACATCACACTGCTTGGCAGATTTTTTTATTGTCAAAAATCATCAAAGAATTTGATACCCTTGTCATAAATATGTGACTCATCGAGCTCCCACCCCCACCCCCACCCTCCACCCCCAGTCACCAAGTGTGTGACAACATCTTTGGGTGAGACTAAGTTGTATTTACATTACATTCAAGTATTCAATCATTATAAAAGAACCTTTGACTCCTTGGCTATAAAAATTGTGCCCTTGTTAACTGAAACTCGTTGGACAGCACTTCCATACAGCTAATTTCATTGAATATAGGCCTAATTGTCCAATTTCTTAACATCAATTAAATATCATGATTATGACAAAAATTGATTTCCACATTTGTCCAAAGTGTCCAATAAATGCCTTAACAACCGATTTTGCAACATTCTCCCAGTGTCCTGGCTGATTTGATATTTTGCCCTATTTTTAAACAATTTTTTTTTATTATTAGAAAGTCTTGTACACATTGTTAACATCAGAATTTTTTTGGTGTCAAATTCCATGATTGATGTACCAGTAATGAAGCTAAAATTCTACCTGTAAAGACTGGACAAGTTGTAAGCTGGTAATGTGCAACATGCATTACTTTATTAATAAGTGCATGTGTTAATTTGAGGTCTAACTGGATATGAGACCAGGTTAAAATGTTATGCATGCAACTTTTAACTCCAATCCAGTTCCTATGAGAGATTAGAAGTAATTAGCCATAATTTTAAATCAGTAAGCTTCTCATGACTAAAAAAGAAATTCCCATTTATAAGCTTTTATGAGAAAATTGACAAAAGAAATAAACATATTTGTCAAGAAAGAAATACAGAAGTACTAGATATAGCCCACAAAACATTGGTAATAGCAACTTCCCATCTACTAAAGTTACTTCACAAAACATTAACTCAAATAATGCACATTTAAGGATCCCAATTTAGATACACCCCTTCCCCTCATGATACATCACTGCACAATTTTTATTTCACATCCATGAACTATATTAAATATTCTGATGTCCCAATAACTTTTAAACCAAATATTTTAAACACCATACTTAACTTGAGACTATTTCATTTTCCGAAAAGAAAATATTACACACTAAATGCAGTTTCGTTATCAAAAAATATAAATTATATCATTTAGCGTAGTTATTCGGAATTACATTTTGCGCGCTAGTGAACTCATAATTGAACCATACTTTCTTTCAAACATATAGAATTATTTTTAATATAATTTCAATACCAAATACACTGAATAGGAAGCAGCCAGCTTGTTAGGAAGCAGCCCGAAAAGGAAGCAGTCCACCAGTCACACCAGAAGCATAATATATATTAGAGATGAACAGTATTTTAATATTATTATTATTGGTGTTTTTATATAGTATAGCATGGTAACCCAAACTCATCAATAAAAGGGCTGGGCTCACAAAGCAGTACAATTCACAAACATAATCATGAACTTAAAAATTAACATACATTAATTAAATAAAACAAAACAAATGTATATTCATGCCACACATTCAATAACTATTTACATGTCCAGCCATGGACGGCTACCCACCAGCATTGTTTATTGGTCAGAGGGGGGATCAGTCAGGATAGTAGAGTTTAAAGAGATGTGTTTTGAGTGCAGTTTTGAAGGCTGTGATGGTTGGTATATTGCGAATATGTAATGGAAGAGAATTCCATTGTTTTGGGGCACAGAAAGAGAAAGATCGTTCACCATATGTTTTTGTGCAAGTCTTGGGTACAGAAAGAGGAGCAAAGCAATCGAAGGGGTGAATAGACAGAGAGAAGTTCGGTTAGATAGGAAAGGCAGGAATTCTGGAAAAAATTGTGGCCGAGAACAGAAAGTTTGTAGTCAATCTCTTCCCAAATAACCGACCATGATGTGGCTTTACAGATCTTGCATGATATCAAGTTGCAAATCCTGACTATATAGAATCCCTGCGAACTCCTAAAATTTTGTAATCGCTCCACACACACAAATCTATTAAATAGTTTTTTATTATATACATTAAAATTTCCAACCAAGGGTCCCTCTTTGCCTCATAGATACGCTAATAGCAGGGGTCAAGTCATGCCAAAAAAATGTGGGTGCTCACCCAATTGCAGAACTCAAGCACTAACCAATGGTGATCAACCTACTGCCATCCACATTCTCTGGCATAATTTTAAGTCCTGTTTTCAAACTTTAAAATTAAATTTAGGTGAAGTCTGCCATTTCTATTATTATCAATTTATAAATCATGATTTCAATTAAATTATTAATAATAACTGTGTCCATTTAATATTATGGTATGTTTACTATCGGGTATACAGTATACATTCATTGTAATGCATAGACATAGAATAATTTTGAATAAGTATCAATTAATTATTAAACTATAACTATTAAGTTACTATGTGACTAATACTAATAGAAATATTATGGCTATCTCTTACTATTACTTTTTTAGTCTATTTTTTTTTAAAATCTATCTATAATTTTAAACAATTATGCAAGTTCACGGGTCGCGGCAACCAAGACGGCGGCCTTGTAATACGTCACGGCTACATCTCTTCACATTTACCTAATGCCATGATGTCATTTGCGTGTTTTTTTAAGTTGCTGTTTTGGATCCACTCCCCTTATTTTTTTTTAATAGAGTTACATTTTCATTAATATGACGATGGCATGTTTTAATTAAATTTTTATTGGTTGATTAATTATAATTTTCAAACTTCATTTGTTGGCTAATTATAATAATAATAGTTTTATGTGTTCCGCCATCTTAAAAAATGTGTTATTGACGCCATAGTGTTTTATTAATTTTCTGGATATTATTTTCGAAGGAACCTGAAATAAAGTGTGTAAAAGTGAATTCTATGAAACTGTAAGTTAGGTTTTCATTATTTCTTTATTTTATAATTATTTTTTGCCATTTTTTTCTTTATTTTTTTGCCATTTTTTTATTGTTTTTTTGTTCATTTTCATTGTTTTCTTGTCAGCGTGTGTACATTCCATAGTTTTTACTTGCGGCTCTAGGGCTAGTTATATGGTTTGGGTTAATAAAACTGCAGCTGAATTCGTACATACACCTAAAATTATCAAATGTGGCCTAAATTTAATTCGGGCACAGCGGGTTTTTCAATCTGGTAGCTAATACTACTAATCAGTTATAACTTAAAAAGCAGATCAAGTATAATATTACCTTAATATTTTTCATATACTCTAAATAAAGTTTGCTAGGCTTGTGCGGTTGCTCATATCTTAAATTGGTCTCCCTGCTCATTTTAGTGTTTAGAGCACAATTATTTAGCAATCGAATAAATCAGCATAAGAAAGGAGTACAATCAGTGTGTAAGTGTAGGCAGACATGAGTCGGAAGTCGCCTCGTTGCTATGCAGTTAATTACTTTTAAGCTACGTAAAAAGTATAACCGGTAATCTAGTCTTGTGAATGACGCTGCTTGCATTCATTTATTAAATTGAAGCTTGTTAATCAACAAGTTAAAAAGTTTTTACACTTAAATTTTATAATGCAGAATCTATTAAAAGGTTGTTAAGGACTAAAATATCTCTGTTTGTGGAAGTATACATATGATTATTGTCAGTATAGCTGGCAATTATAGAATAGTGTCTAGCTTCTGTCTATAGTATTATTATCTTCCCCCATGGCCATGGCGTAGTCAGCAGATGTTGCTGTATCGTAACAATGGGCATCAAGGACATCATTTGGGTAGGGCAAGGGGTTTGGGAGGGGAAGGGGGCTTCCCCCCCCCCCCCCGATTTTGCTGGTTTTATTTAAATTGCTATGTACTGCGGCGCCTCCAGTAATAAACAACGTATTGAGCCGAAAATGTTGGTTTTTGCCCCCCCCCCCTTCCCTTCCCCGGAAAAAACCTGAAATGACGCCCCTGGTGGGCATAGTCTATAGTGGCTGATTTATCATTTTCATCTTGTGCAACTGATAAACCAGACAAGTCAACATCATCCTTATCTAGCCATTCAGCACTTAAAATAGAAGTATTGTCGGTGTGAGCAATAATTGCCATAAGCTCTCTCTGTCTTTGAGTTGGTAAAGTTGTTATTGAACACCAATGAGTTGGTGTTTTTTTTTTTTTTAATTTAACACCGTAAACAATGATGTGTAAACTTGTGAAGTATTGTCGGTGTGAGCAATAATTGCCATAAGCTCTCTCTGTCTTTGAGTTGGTAAAGTTGTTATTGAACACCAATGAGTTGGTGTTTTTTTTTTTTTTAATTGAACACCGTATACAATGATGTGTAAACTAGGGAGTGGATTAAGAGAAAAATGACAGGTGAAAAGAGGCCAACGTTTGTCTTCTCTTGCACTAACAAAGTATGCTAACATTCTGACCAACCATCTGCAGGGCACAGACAGACACACATTATATGACTATTTACGCTAATTAAATTGTTTAAAATACATTAAATAACTCTTATAATGTTAAAAGCCTAAATATATATTACAATTTACACTCATTAAATTGTTTAAAATAATGTAGGAACCATTCAAATTTTTAAGATTAACAATTTAATAGAAAAAACATGATTGTTGACGTTAACTAATCTACCCCCCCCCCCCTTTTTTTTCCCCTAACAATGCATTAAAAAGGGCACTTTAGTAAAACAATTTCCAAATAACAGAGACGGAGTTGTTTTTTTTTTTTATAAATCTTTTATTTTAAATTTACATTTATGTGTTTAGGGGAAAATCTTGGTACGGCTAATTGACCCACTTCCCGTCAACCTATTGAGCTGTAATTTAGCACATAGACTATTTCCAATAACAACACATTGTATCAAATTTTCAGCTCCAACCCCAAAAAATCAGTTTTTCATGTTTTTCTTTAAATAGAGCGCTTTGAGCATGTTATAATAGCATGGATACAAGCACTATACAAGCAGAGGCGTAGCAAGGGTGGTTGGCGCCCGGGGACAAGATCCATTTTAAAGCCTTCCCCCCCTTTTTTTCAACTCTCAAACCCATTATTTTCATCAATAAAAATAAAATTATATCAAAGCACATTTTGGCGTCCCTAACTAGCTGGCGCCCGGGGACATCTGCCCCCCCCCCCCTTACGCCTCTGTATACAAGTAATCAATCAATGAAGGGAATGTGATGCCACTAGTTTCATGAAATAAAGTTCCCGATAACTGCGCTAAATGAGATTCTTCTAAAAAATATAATATTTTTGGTGCGTAATATTTTCCTTTGTTTTTCTGAAATAGTTGGTGAATTAAATCTGTGGTATAAAAGGGGGTTGGACTCTTAGACAGTTAATTAAAATAATTAATGCACATGATCATGAAGGATTTATACGACAAACTTTGTAATTATTAATGATTGTTTAATTAATAGGGCTTACTTGCCTTAGATAATCAATGCCCAACTGCCTTGCTCTTTTTAGCTTTAGCATCAGAATAATTAACAATCTGCCCAAACAATTTGCACGTATTTCTTTTATTATTAATATTATTATTTATTTTTTTCTAATTGAGAATCCAGTAGATACAACAATTAAAATCCGGTTTGTGAGAACTAGCATTTCCATTATCATGCCAATTCCTTCTTCTTCTTCTATATCTTAAGGGCCCACGATCAATTTATTGATCATTTTCGCTCCTATGCATGTAGATGGGATTTGCAATGTTACCGGTAGGTTTAAGAAACATTTCTTTTTAAAATCGCAAATTTAAAAATATATTCAATAGATTTGATAAAAGAAATGTGTCAGTATATTATTATTATATCGAATAGGCGATTTGTAATTTATCAGAAGAACGCCATAGACGTTTGAAATTCCAACTCCAAATAAAAATTAGAATCAACTGAATATTTGGAAATGTTAACTTTTTTTTTAATGATTTCTCTCAGATAGAAAGAATCACAAATTAATAAATATATTTTGTCTTTCCCCATTTCTTTTGCGGCCCAGGGATACTACTTCCAAGCTAAGTGCTATTTCTTATTTTTACTTTTATACCGTTTTTTCTGTTGTTTCGTTCGCTGACGAAGGCTTTCTGCCGACACGTTCGTTGTTTTTAACCCTACTCTGTTTTGCGGTACTCATTTTATATTGTGCTATTATTAGTGCTAACCTCATTGCAGTCTCTCCCCTTATTACCCACTTTACAAAAGTTACCGAATACTTCATTCGGCGATAAAACATGGTCAAAACGGTGTGTTTCTGACCTAATAAATAAGGTACCCGGTAACCTAATCGTATCAACCTTGAAATGTTAATATTATTAATATTAACGAAACACGCATTTTGATTGGTTACATGGGTGGAAAAAGTACGTGTCATTTGCTACTGTTATTAGATTACCTGTTATCCTTTTTATTTTTATGAATTTCGGTTAGACCGATCAGTGTGTGCTCTGTAATTACGCTATCTTTCAATTTGTTGTCACCCCCTGAGATGGTCCGCACCCCCAGCTAAGCCACTGAATACAATTTTTTGGTCTTCCAAACCTCAAGGCTGTGTAGATGGCCCCTAGAAATTAAACACCACAATGCTGAATGAAAATGCCAGATAAAGCAGAACCATTGACTTTTCGACCACCCCCCTTTAAAAAAAAGAAACCCTTGCATTCAAATTTGATACGGTAATTAAATTTTTAGTGTCCACATTACAACTTTAATCCCCTGAATATCCCAGCCCCTCTGGAGCCGTAAGGGTTGCAGGGCAACACGATACCGGGTAGCTTAGTTGACACCTACATTTGTTACTAGTACCTCTCTCGTTGCTCTCCGATTAAGTGTAGAATGGTTTTAAACTAAATTCTGCATTTTTCACAAATTTACCAAGATGACTCCTGTCCCCGATTTAACCTAGTGTACGGTAGGATTAGTATTAGTAGGTAGAAATTTAAACTGTCTTCTCTTCCGCACCCCCTATTTCTGCCTCCCCACAATGAGACAGTACCGGTACAGGATAGAGGCTTTTGCCAATTATTACCCCGGGATGTACCTTAACCAGAGTGAATTCAGTTTACATGGCACTGGCCGTCTTAATGCCTCCGCCAGACGCATTAATTTTAAAACATCCTTCCCTCATCAAATACCGGTAAAATAAATAGAAACACCGAATTCAAACATACCCAGTACGGTACTCAAAAAAATGCACACTACTAAGCATTTTGAAATTATTTTTTAATTTTATAATTACGCCAGTGTAACAGATTAATTTCTTTTTCGATGCCCTCAACTCAGCTAGATTCTCATTTCATTAATTGATTAAAGCTTTGAGAAAATACTTGAGAAGTTGTAACACCATAGGGGAAGGTCAAAAAAAGCTAAGGAGTGGTATGGCTTGACAGTTTAAAATTTAAGCACAACAAAGTCAAAGCAACGATTCTTGAATATGGGTGACATGAAATCGGGTACTACTGAACTGATGAGGGATCCTTGGCTTTGCAGGAGAAAACTAGATAGGACATCACTGATCTGGAGGTACCTCCTAATATCTCTGCAGCACTCAACGTAACATTTAAATGATTTACTATGTTAACAGTACCAGTCTGACCAGAGCCTTAGGGATACACCATAACTTTGTTATTCTGGTAGTAGTAGCCTGATCGAAGCCCAAAAATATCATAACTCAAGTTCTTTTAAACATGACAACAGCGGTGACTTTTTTGAACAAAGTGTATCAACTTTTAATTAAAAATTCCATTGACAAATGTGATCTAAGAAAATAAATACATAAGTTGCAAATTGAAAAGACAATGCAAACTAGACAAATTTATATGTATTTATTAAAATTTCACAGCATCTGCAACAACGTAAAATTACTTCTTGGCAGGCTTCTTAGCACCTCCTTTAACTTTCTTGGCAACTTGCTTAGCTTTTCTTACTGCAGATTTACCTTTGGGGAGGGGCTCCAGTGGCTTTTTAATCTATAATTCAAAAGAGTGGAAAGTTTAATTATCACACTGCCCAAATATTTCTATTTGTTAACTATCACATAAGGATAAAAAATAATATATACATGCAAATATGCATTAACTGCCACAAAGAAAGTTGTCAGTTCAAATGGCCTGAAATCATCTGTCTTTTAAGCACACCCTCAACCTACAACTTTCTATTATTTCATTATACTTCATCGCTAATCAAGTAAATTTAATATTTGTAAATATGGTAGTTACATTATCAAAGGTTTTAATTGCTTCCGAAGTTATTTGAACAACCAGCATTTAGCTGAATTAGGACCAAAAAACCAAATTGCTACCAAAATTTAACAAGCAACAAGGACTCAAGATATTGATTGGATCAACTTACACCACGCTTTTTGTTAAGCAGCTCCTCTTTAGCACGCTTACGCAGGGTTTCAATATGCTTTGCTTGCTTCTTTGCATGTTTGGCATAAGGGTTAAGCCTAACCATCACACGATAGTTCTTAAGAGGATTTTTCTTCAAGATTCTTCTCTTGATCTCTCTCCTGTGAAAAAAAACAACAACAAAATAGAAAAATTGCATCACCTCAATATAACTAAATTACAAAAGTTTAATTGATAACATCCCAATAAAATATATATTAAAACAACTTGTTTATATATCTTACTTGGGATCTCTGAGAACAGATTGGATTTCATCACTCTTCAGAAGACGAGCCAAATCAAATGATGCCATCTTGTGCATTGGTAGGCTGGAATCAACATTTTAAAAGATAATCGTTTGTAATGAAGAGAAAAAATTATATGTACCAGGTATATAGGAAGGTTAATATATGTTAACTCTTAAACACATATGGCACACACACATATATATTGGTACAAACAATATATCAAGTATAAGCTCACTTGTAACCCTTCTTCTCCTTGGACTCCTTACGCCATGTCCCATAAATGTCATCAAGGCGCTTGAAGGCAGACTCAGTCCAAATGCAAAATCTACCAACATGACCACCAGGAGCTACTTTCAACAAGTTGAGTCTGTCCACACTGATAAGGGTGATGCCTAAATTTTAAATCATATTTCGTGATAGTGAGACCAACATGTTATGTTTCAAAAATCGTATCTGTTCAAAATGAAAATCCAATAGTTTAATACTGGTATGGCAACATCAGGAGGAGAGCAACATCACAGAGTGTAAGAAACACGGACCTTATTATCATCAAGTGTTGCCATTTATAATTTATTTTTAAAAATATTCTTCCTATGCAGTATAATCAATAATAGATACCTGGAATATTTCTGAAGGCCCTTGTAATTCCATTGTCTTTATTGTAAATCACCAGAGGTCCTCTACGTTGGATACGTCTGCGATTCCTCATCTTTCCTCTACCTGCTCGGAAGCGCTTGCTATTGTATACCTATTACAATTAGGTGAAATTATTTCAAGTTAGTAATTAAGGCAAAAAGATACGATGGTTAAAGTACAAAACAATCATCTATATCTAAATACTTGGCATTTCAGATAATAGGATCATCAATAAAATCTGTAACACGGACCTAATTTTCATCACAAGTGCCATTAATGCCTAAATCCAATAATGCATAAATAACCATATTCACCTTTTCAATATCAGACCATGCTTTCAATTTCTTCAGCACAAGAACAGCCTCTTTAGTCTTCTTGATTTCCTCAATTTTGTCACTGACAACCAAAGGAACCTCTGGTATTTCTTCAATTCGGTGACCTGCAAAATAAAAAAATGTTAAGTTATTCTGCCTAAAGTTGAGAAAATTTTACATACAAATAGACAACTTAATTGGACAAAGAAGAATGACAGTATCACACATGGAATCAATAAATGCGAAGTTAGACAGGAAAATGTACAAAACCCTTAAATTGTGATACAGTAGTTTTAACTCATTCCCTCCGGCAGCGCTGCTTCCGGACTTAATTTATTTTCCTGAGAAAAGGGAAGCAACTCAGTTTTGAAATTGATTTATATTTTAAAAATATTTTTTTAAGTTGCTAAATATTATTTAATGTTAATGAATTAAGAACAAATGCAACAAAAAATGAATAAGGTTTAATATAAATATAACATTAGCGGGGGAAAAATAACGAACAATGGCCAAAAAAATCGATTTTCGGCACCTCGGACGAACACATGGTACATATAGACGCGCCGTACTAAAGCACACGTAGTTTTAAAGTGAAACAAGATAAAAACTTCCGGTTTCTAAATTAAAATCACGCAGAAATCACGCCATAGCCGGAAGTCTCGAGGGGTGCGAGATTTCATTGCTATTTTTAACTAAAAATAGAGGTGTGTCGCTATGCGCCGGGACGCATCAGGAGGAACCCCCCGAGGACGCATTTAGTCGCAACCGTCGGGAATGAGTTAAGGTTCTGACCTAGTGCTTCATGTAAAGATCCTACTAAAATAAGAGTGCAGTAATTGAAAAAACTTCAGTGGCCTAATCTAACCAAGAGAATAAATCCTAGAAAATTGTCAGGGATTACAACCTTTGGACATAACCAATGCAGGAACACCAGTAGCAGCAATGGCAGAAGTTATTGCGTATCTGCGCTGGTTAGTATTAATTTTACGGTGCCAACGTCTCCATGTTTTGGTAGGGGCAAACATGCGACCACCACGGCACATGTTTCCAAAAGCACCCTGACCAGATCTGTGGGTACCTCCACCACGGACACGAGGAATACGTGCGACAGCACGACCAGTTCCCCATGACTCAGCTGATGTTTGATGACCTGCAAAGGAAAAGTTAAATCATTATGACTAGCAGAGTCTACTTCTGTACCATGTTGTCTAAGCATACATGTAACCAAATTTGTGGTAAATGTTCATTAAAAAACTTTTATTGGCACTTTAATAAATAAGTCTTGCTGGCCTACTATTTAAAATAAAGACATACGCCATTAGGCCTATTCTTAATAGTTTGCAATATGTACCTGCTTTCACTGACACTGCATATGGCTGACGGGTGTTCTTCAGCATCTGGAAATGAACTGCATTGACTATGTCAGGGCGAATTGGTGCCTTGAACACTGCTGGGAGACAAATGGTGGCACCTGTTGTTTCGCCCTTCTCACTATGAACAGAAATGAGTGGTCTGGCTGCCTGAAAAGTACCATATAAATAAAGTTTCAAAACAGTCTGTTGGGCACTTTTAATTAATGTAGTAAGGTCATTTAGGAAAAAGCCATTACCAATTATAGTATATATTTGGAATGCTACAAGTATACAGGTACCTTGTTTACAAGACCCCTACTTATCCATTTCTTATTTTGCAAAATATAGCTCTCCAGGGTAAAAAAAAACAAACTTAAAATTAACATTTGTTAATGATCACTTGCAAATAATGTAAAATTTGGCAATATCAGGAGGCGATTAACATCATAGTGTCAGTAACACGGACCTAAGAATCATCACATATTGCCACTTAAGACTTAACTAAACTTGATAGCTAGACTAATGTAAAGATAGATATTAGTGAACAGAGGGCTTGGTTTTGCAAGTGTTAAACAAAGCACTAACATAGTTATCCTTGGCCAATATATAAAAAGTCTACTCAGCCTAACCATACTCATACTTGCATATTATATCAGATCACTTAAACGTAACATATATCAACCAATTGGTGATGACCGGGCATGGCAAGCATGAGTAAATATCACAAATGATAATCATTCATTATGATAATGCGATGTAACTGCCTGACAGTCTGAGGACAGCAAAATAATTTATGAGACAAAATAAGGCCGGCCTAACACGATCCGATAACTACCGAAGCCGAAGTAAGCTGAGCAGTACTGAGGAATCTAGCATAAATTTTAATATTAAATGGTCAAATCTCATTCAAAATATAATTTAGTTTATATAGTAAGCTTTCAATGTGTGATTTTAAAAATAATTTTATATTTCTGGCATTTCCATTACTATACTAGTACAATTACCATGTTAATGTGTAGGCCTTCGTACGTCCTACCACCACGTTGATCTCTTTGGAAAAGGAAGTGGAATAGAGACCTAAGTCGTATTGCGCAAGTCCGAAAAAGAAAGAGTATCGATATAATTTAATATAATAGAAATCATGGGAGTTTTAAGAAATATCTAGAAACCTTCATTTATTAACTACTTTTTAAAAGCTAAAACAAAAAGGCTGATAAATTATGAAAAATATCATTCCACAATTTTAGCACTGAAATTCATGAAATAAAACATATTACATGAATAGTTCCTTAAACATGGATGCCAAAATTAAAGGAATGAGAGGGAATAAACTAGGAGAGCACCAGAATATATTTTGAATGGACCTTGAAAAACTGGAAATCAGGCTTTAAAATGTTGTCTTGAAAATACGCATGCATTATGTACAACGTTTCTCCATTTCACCCCTAACTCATATTTTAAATGTGATGTTCATTAGAAAATAATAAATGATACATTATGAATGTGGTTAAGTTTTAATCATAGTATCGATACCCATTATCAAATCATTAAAAAATACTTATTGCTGTATCACTACACAGGCTACAACTATTACACTTAAAATATATGAGCTTGTAATTTTTATTTTAAAAGAAGACACAGTAAATATAATTTCCCATTTAAACATATAAATATTTTAAAATACAATTATGATAACATATAGATATATTGACATGATTATTTTAGGAGAACTATATTTTATAGCCCAGCCCCTAGAATCGCGCTATAATGGGACACCATTTTGTACGTACGTGCTGAGGGCACTGAGCGGGAGGGGGTGTCAATTTTGGAGATTTTGCGTACGCGTGGGTACGGCCCCGGGGGGGGGGGGGGGGGGGGTGTCTCGTGGGAAGGAAGGTCCATTTATTAAAAAATTCTACTATAACCACCCTCCAATTTTGACAGTCCACAAATGGGGGGGGGGGGGGGGGGGGGGGGGGGGGTTGGTTTGGGGGTTTGTGGGGGGGGGGGGGGGGGGGGGGGGGGGGGGGGGGGGTGGCGGTGTCTCGTCGGAAAGAACGTACATTTATTAAAAAATTCTACTATAACCATCCTACAATTTTGACAGTCCACAAAATAGGATATTTATATCTCAAATGCTGAAAAAATCAATGTAGGAATTATCGTCATTATGTTGCCTTGTGTTTTCACAAAGTAACTCGCTGAACTAGTACTCAGTAGTAGCCTTTTTTCAGCAATATTTCGTCCACAGTATGTTTAACGTGTGGGACGTATCTTCTTCTTCTATGTTTTAAGGGCCCACGATCAATTTATTGATCATTCTGGCTCCTATGCATGTAGATGGGATTGGTAAATGTTTCTGTGCCAGGTGTCGAAGAGGATATTTCACTGGTTGAAAGGGCCACTCAGCGGGGGTTGGAAGGCCAGAAAAAGTGACATTTTAGTTTATAAATCACAGTTTGTTGAGAATTTGATGGACTAAGGGGTCGTCCATTAATTATGTCAACAAATTTGGGTGCGTAGGTGGTTTTGGAAATGTTTGACAGTTGTTGACAGGGGGGGGGGGGGGGGGGTAGTTTTGATGGGGTGGACAATCATGTTTTTTCTTTTAAAATTTCAATTTTAAAAATTGACTGGTTTTTATTTTTTTTTATTTAAAATTTCAATCTTAAAAATTGACTGGTTATTATATTATTTTAATAATTTAATGAGTGTATATTAAAATATGTATATAATTTTAGGTTTTTAACAATATAAGATTTATTTAATGTGTGTCTGTCTGTGCACTGCAGATGGCTGGTCAGATTAGCACATTTTGTTAGTCCAAGAGAAGTCAAAAGTTGGCCTCTCTTCGCCTGTAGATTCTGTTTGTCACAAACTAGGGCGATATGTTTACGGTCGTGTTGCAGGTGGGAACAAGGTAGAGGCCGACCGAATTTCGGCTTCGGTTTCGGCGCCGAAAGTGGCCATTTTATCACTTTCGGCCAATTTTCGGTTTCGGCCGAAACTGGAAAGTTAACTTTCGACTTAATTTCGGTTTCGGCTGAAAGAGAAAAGTTAACTTTCGGTTTTTCTTCGGTTTCGGCCGAAATTGACTTAGACTTTCGGCCATCCGTCCGAAAGTGACTCAGGTTTTCGGTCATTTAATACTAAGCAAAAGCGATATTTAACAACAAACTAAGCGACATTTAAGAACAAATTAAGCGATCTTTGAGAACAAACTAAATGATATTTAACAACAAACTAAGCGACATTTAAAAACAAAC